ATCAATGTGCCTAAAAATTTCGTCTATATGCGCTAAAAATTAAAAAAAAAAAAAAAACAATTTTTAATGTAAATATATCTTGTTAAGCTCATTCTTCTTCAAATAGTTGCAGCTATAGTTTTAAATTTGGAAAAGTATAATAGTAATAGAGTCCTTGACTTACTAGATTCACAGGGTCCTTATTATCTTATAGTGTAGAAATACAACAGCGGCAGCGTCACAAAGCCCATCGCATTTGCAATTGGATGTTAATGTCCATTCGAGATAAAGTTACTACGTTATAATACGCTGGTTAAGAGATATTATTATGCAAATTCAACAAACAATCATTAACTCGAAGATTAATTATACATTATGCTAGTGTATTTTTTATGAGACCTTTCAAAATAAGGAATAGAGTGATTTATTTATATCGATTTAAAGTTCAGTGCGGACATAAGTTGGGCAGTACAAGCACCCTTAAAAGTTTTTAAGTAGAAACTTAAAAAGTTGAAGATTATTTTAAAACATTCAGATTATTATAAGGCACGCTTATTATTACGGTACCGCACGCACGCACGCACGCACGCACGCACGCACGCACGCACGCACACCCACAAACACCCACACCCACCCACGCACGCACACATACAAATCGTACGCACGTGCGCACACTGACGACCCCACACGCGCGCGCGCGCGCACAGGCAAACACATGTATTTAAGGAATTATCAAGTGCTACGTTTGTGCTTTTACGGGAACTATACGTGTCATATTAAAATAAAAATATTATTAATATATAATTATTATTGATAATATTTCTCGCATGATTTAATTTTTAGATTTTGACAAACTTCTCTTAGTATTTTAATATTGAATATATAAATGTAATTGCAAACAATTAAATTCGAACGTGCGTGAAAAGCAATAATCACGCTCAATTTCAATAAACGCATGCTTAATCTGGTAATGCAAATGTCGTTATATCGCATTACTTTCACTTTAAATCATAATTATTGAGGGATACAATTGAAGACTCATGTTCGTGATAGCTCTGTCAAACTTCGATTTCAGTCTTATTTTTTTTACGTGCTAATCGTCAATAACAACGTCGCATATTGATTTTCAATCTCATTTTTATTTAAAACAATATACAAAATGATTATTAGTATAAAACATCTTATAATATTTTTTTTTTTTTTTTTTTGATAATTGAGTGCTTAAGGTTGATAAAACAAATGTTATTAATAAAATGTATTGCTTGAATGTTGTTTAATAATTATATTATACTATTTTTGTATCTGGTTTGAGAAATGTCATGATTCAAAAATATTATTTATGGAATATTATTTTACATTAATCATTTTAATGTAAAACAATAAATATCTAAGAAAATATTTTAAATACCTATAAAATACGATCATTTATAAGTTGCAAAAAAAAGACATTTTTTTTTTCTTTTTTTTTTATACAATCAAAGAATAATATTTAGCGAATAACTGTAAGATAAATAATAAGTTTATATGTTAAAAAAAAAAAAAAAAAAAAAAATGGTGACACTATAACACGAAATTTTTGGCATTGAAACGGAACATGTTACACGGTAATTAATTAGTAATATAGTTGATTAATAGCTGCTCTATGATTAATCTCACTTAATTATTGAATGATTAATCTATTTATAAAGTTTCTAAATTATTTTAAAAAATTATGTATTATAATATTTTTGGAAGGTAGGCTGGCAGGTCGGAATCAATCAAGTCCTGGCACACATGTAAATGTTTTGCAAAAATTAGAAAGAATCGACGCTTCCATATTAAATCGTTACGTGCTAAGATATCGATTTACAAATTTTAATAAATTTGAATGATATTTTCTTTGGATTCAAATTTCAGCACCAACAATGAATATTTCATCGTTAAAACAAAACATAAATTATAACAATAAACGAAGGCCAGAGCTTTAGAAAGCGGTGAAACTAATCTTGCAATATAGCAAATTATAAATTCGAGCGGTTGTATAATGTAAACGGTGGGTGCGACTCCACTTGTAATTAAATCAAAATAAAACCTGTGTGTACATGGGAAGAGAGAAAGCGCGCAGTGCGTTCTTCCGGAAGTAAATAATGCGAAGAAAGGGCAACAAAGCTAACTTTATCCTTTATTGTACTAAACAGTTAATAATGTTAAATTGCGGTACTGGAAATCTGGTCTGACACAAGCTACGCTTAACGTGAATGTTGTTTTTCGTTTTATTTTTTATTTAACTTTATGAAATGTATTTTTCAAATTAGTCTTTATCTTAATTAGTAAAGAGCTTAGTATATAATCTAGTCATGCTGAATCTGTTAGTAGTAAATCAATAGTTTTTTTTGTAATCTATTTTTTTTTTTTTTTTTTTTTTTTTTTTTTTTTTTTTTTTGTATACACACGTTCAATATTATCTACTAGATGTGATATTTTAAATTTATCCTGGCTTTTATGGTAGAAATATACAAGTTTCGCGTTAAGTATAGCACTTGTTTTGTAGAAAAAAAAAAAAAAAGAAAAAAAAGAAGAAAAAATAGAAAAAAAAATTAATCTATAAGATGTAATCATATTCTTTTTAAGCAATTGTTATCATTACATAAATCATACTTTTAATAACCATTATTTATTTTGTTACCTATAAGATGTTAATTTAGTAATTTAAATTTAATATTTTCTAGTATTATATTTCATATGATTTCAGATTATACAATTGGCTTTAGGTTTGCTTAGATTTTCATTTAACGATTGTTTACATTTACATGATTCTTTCATTATCATATTTCCATTTAAGAGGAAATATGTTCGACATTAATTTGAATAATCAATTTTTAATCGAACCTTTTATAATATCTGAATAAGATGCGTTAATTAAATAATTTTTACCAGCCTCGTTAGATAATGAGTGAAATAGTCTGTTTATACAAGAAAAAGAAAAATTGTTATCTTTTATTAAGCCAATTGAGGTGGATAAAGGAAATTTTATTCAAGGATGAGTTAATTATTTTTTATTAATTTCATAAGAAAAAAATTCATAAATAATTACACTATACTACAGAATACTTATGGCACTTTGCAATGATTATGAATTTATAAAATAAATTAGTGACTTACGACGTAATTGCGCACCAAAAGAAATACATAAAAAATAATTAAGAATAGAGAAATGCTGGGAAAAATAGTCTTAACCAATGCGAGTAAATTCTTCTTATGCCGTAGTGGAGAAATGAAAATTCGTAAGACTATGACGTTTCCTTTCATCTCCAGACTGTTCTTATAGTCATTGTAAGACCGGAATTACAAATTTCATCCTTTAACCGAGTAGGAAAAGCGCCATTCTTATCCTTTTTCTTATTCTGGCCGGTTTGCAATAGTCCCTCTTCCTCTTATTGTTACAGTGATTTAGAAGCATCAGTGGAAGCGATGGGAGGAGGAAACACTTAAAGAGAAAAATGAGGGAATACGTGGGTGACAAAAAGAATGGCGCCTCTCAGCGTTATGCCCTGGCGACAATTAACGTTAATTTTCTTCTTTGAGTCTGTCGATGTTAAGGCGTGACAGATAGATTTGAAGTTTGCAATAGCCGAAATTTCAGCATTACATGAAATTTTTAAGATTTAAGATGCACTTACAGCTATTTGTATTAAATTTTTCGATACTATTGTTTGCCATTATGGAAGATTAAACTTCAATATTTATAGAGATTCGAGTATTTGCCAACTTAAAAGGTAGTTTTTACAACTCGGGAGGTACAGTAACAAATTAGGTTCATTATAAGATTTAATTAATATCATAAGTTTGGGTTAAATTTTTTTTTTTTTTTTTTTTTTATGAATAAAGTTAGAATTTTTTGTTTTATAAAATTTGCAGGGAATTAAGTAGTTTAGAAAATTAATTAGTGTACGCATTATTCGTACAATCAATATCTTTTAGTTATTGAAATATTTTCTTTAAGAATATAAGAATATGATGGACAATGCAGAAAATGAGATAATATATTAGACGTTAGAATAAATTATTTCACAGAAATCAGTATTGAATGCAAAGTATTATTGACATAATTTTTGGATAAATTTTTTTAAGAAAAACTTAGACGACTAGAACGAAAATAATAATCGCTTAATTATAATCGCAGACGACGTCTAAAGTAATTATATTTCGAAAATTTCGAAATAATTTTTACAATTATAGGTCATTTTAAGGCAGGTGAAATTGAATGGTCAGTCAATGCATTTACAAATAAGAATTATTTCATGACCTGCAACTATGATAACGACCTGGTAGTTTTGCCCTGATCGCAAAAGTTAAGTATACCAAGGAATTAGCATGGGCTGTCCATTAAATTCCCAGCGACCCCGATGAAACTGCCCC